TAGCACGCGTTAAAACGAACCCTCTGTCTGTTACAATTAACCCCACCTATGGGGTAAGGTGTAACATTTGTACTTCTGTCACTTTCGTTGTAATTGTACGAGAATGGTAGGTCCTAGAAACAAACTTCCAAGTGTTTGTTTGTAGCAGAGATGTGTATGTTGCTTGTGTAAAAATATGATTAATGTAACTTATTTTAAATTAAAAAAAATTTTTTTAATAATTGACCCAAAACCAAAAAGTGTTAGGTTTTGCCCCGCTCTCCCCTATTTTTTTTAATTCATTCTATTGCACATTATTACCACTTGTTTTTATACTCCGGGAAATGCAGGGTTTTGAAATTACTGTTTTATAGTACAATACTGCACGAGGCTCCTGAAATAAAACACAGAAAGGTATGATTGTTTTTGTAAATATGACTCATCTTATACAACATGTACAGTCTGTGTGATTAAACATTCCCCCATGGTCTAGTGTTAAAAAAGCAAAAGAAAATTCACAATATATTGCAATATTGAATTGCAGTACTTGTTGAATCACAGTTCTTTAAAAAAAATCACAATACATATCAATATGTCACCCAAGTATCGTGATAGGGACATTTCATTAGCTCTTTGTCGTGATTAGTCTTGATTTTGGTTTCGTTTCATTGGCTACTATTGAATACTGTTTCAGTTCATGATTTCAGCCCTCCAAAAGCAATTTTGCAATTTCGGTTGGCAATATATTGGTGTATCATTTGTTTGTCCTATTATAATTTTATAATGCAGAGCTATTTAAAACTCTTTCCACACAAATAGGGTCTCACCATACCTATCAAAGCTCCCCTTTTTTCCTGGGAGTCTCCCATATTTCACACCCATCTTCCGCTCCCCTCCCATTTTGTAATTTCTCCCGGGAAACTTTTTTATGGCCTAAACCTTGTTACATGGCTAATCACATCAATATATTATTCCAAGGTTGTCCAGTTGCCAGATCTCGTATGAAATGCATCCTACTCACACAATCGACACCTCATACAAATTACAACCCATTTATGAACTCAACCTGGCAACCTACAGATATTAAAATAAAAAAAACTATTTAAAAAAAAAACATTTGTTGTCTTCTGATTTGGAATGGAGTTCTCTTTTTCAACATCCTCCACTGATTGTATACAAACGGCCAAAAAATGTTTTAGATTTAGTAAATTCCCCATTTTCAGATTTATAATCCTAGTCCATCTCAGAGATTACGGAGTCCTATACAAAATGGAAACTACTGATGTGGTAACTGTGCTCATTGCAATAATACATTTAAAACATCCTTTTTTTGTCATCCAAGAACTGGCAAAAATACACAATCAATTCTGTTATTACTTGTGCTTCGTCCCATGTTGTTTACCTGATTCGTTGTCCCTGTGGCTTCGGGTATGTTGGGTAAACATCACGCCAACTAAAATATAGGATCAGTGAATGTAACAGTTCTATTAGAAGAAAAGATGTTAATTATCCTGTTGCGGCCCATTTCCTGTCTCTGAATCATAATGTTTCCTCCTTACGTTTTTGTGGCATTGAGAAAGTGACTGTGCCACCAAGAAGTGATGATTAGGGTTGGGTATCGAGAACCAGTTCCATTTTAGAACCGGTTCCAAATTTCCAATAATCGGTTATTCGATAAGACATGTGCATTTCGATTCCGCTTAACGATTCCCGCGTTCGCATTTTAATGTGATTTTAAACTATTTAAGTGCAGGAAGGGAAAGAACTTGCACACTGTTTGCACAGAGAACAGTGGTCCCGATGCAGGTTCCCGACATGTGTCCCGTGCATTTCCACAAAGGTTGTTCCGGGCCAGAACTGACTTCTCTTTCACATTTATCGACCAGTATGCACGAAATACGTCGGTATATCATCATAAACACAGCCGTTTTTTGTCTTAAGTGAATGTAAACAGATGAGAAAGAAAACGCATGTGTAACAGTATTTTTAGATCTGTGTGTTCGGTGTTAGAGACAGCCGTCTAATAAACGTGCTGCCTATCATTAATGTTAATCAAAGAACAAAAGAAAATCATTAACTGACTGGATATCCTTCATAAATTTAATGAGGATTAATCAATATTTTATTTATGCAAAGAAAACTATACAGTGTTTATAAACTTTTGATTTCAATTTCTGTACCTGACATTTGTTCAGTTTTATTTATTTATGCTATTGCTAATTAATTTGTTTACTTGTCTTTGACAATTTAATGTTTGAAATTTATATTAGTCTAGTTGTTTTTTTCTGTGGTATTGTTTTTAAATAAAACCATAGACATAAAACAGAATAAATATGTTTGATCTAAATATTTGACTTAAAATTTGTTTAATGGATTTTTTTATCTTATTGAAATCGGAATTGGGAATCGATAAGAATTGGAATCGATAAGCAGAATCGGAATCGATCAAATTAAACCGATACCCAATCCTAGTGATGATATAGAAATGCTTTTATTGAGGGACAAGTTGTTCTGGATATCTACGCTTCAAAGTGAAGCACTGTTTAATGTGATGCTATAGAGTGACATTTTTTATGTATTCTACTGCCTTTTTATTTATTGCGTTATGATACGAGAAAAAAAAAATATTTTGAGATAACCTTATATAGGATGTTTCTAATATAATATTATCAAAACGTTAATAAAATGTATATGTGCAAGTATTGATAGTGTGCGGGACTGTTGAGTTTTTTTGTATTTGGCCTTGGTTTGGTTTCCTACGCACATATCTATTACCTGCAGGTGTGTGTGGTTAATTGTTAATTGACGGTTAAATATGTTACCATAGACATACCCCGTTTGTATTGTATTAATTTTTTTTGTGCAGGTCTTAAAAATAACTTTTAAAAGTCTTAGGGTGTGTTCACACTTGTCATGTTTGGTTCGATTAAAACGAACTCTGGTGCGATTGCTCTGTTAGTGCGGTTCGTTTGAGTAAGTGTGAACGCTGCCATCCGAACCCTGCTGCACACCAAACAAGCGGACCGCGACCGCTAAAAAGATGGGTCTCAGTCTGCTTCCAAACGAACTCTGGTGCGGTTCGAATGAAATATGAACGCAACACAGACCAAATACTTCTAAACGAACCAAAAACAGGAAGTAATGACGAGATGCTACGCTGTGCGACATGATTTGACGACACAGAACGAGCGGTGTATCCAAAACAAAAGGAGCAGAGGGCAAATGTGGAGCAATGAGGAGGGGTAAAGTGCCTTTAATGAGCTCTTCGTGAGTTCACAGGTGGTGAAAATAAAATCGTAAGTACACGCAGCAATGAGTGCACTTAGTCCAGCAGACGGCATTAGGCGTGTTCAAATTAAAGCGGCGCTGAGCAGACCGATCGGTGAATGGGTACTTTGATGTCATACACCGATAGGCCTGAGCAGCGCCGCTTCAAGTCGAACACAGCTTTTGTTTGGGGTATTCGGTGAGTCCCGTTGCGAAATATACGTCATCAACCCGACCAATCAGGTTGTGAAAGTATCACTATGCCTTTAGCAGGGTTTCTGCAGACATGAACAAGTTAAATTGAAGACATTTTAAGACCTTTTTAATACCACCTTGTATGAAATTTAAGACTTAAACCTGTAATGGAAATACACATTTTATTACATACATATGTAATATTTAATGTGTATAAATTAAAAAGAAAACAAAATATCATTGCTGTATTAAATGATATTTATAACTACGATATACAGTGAACTTTATGTCAACAGACAATATTCCATACAAAATATCCCGCAAAATAACTGCATCACTGAGATTTTTGGTGGAGTAAACAATTTATTCTGAAGCAATATTTTCATCCGTGTTCTATCAGCTTTTACATACTTAAATCTGCATATTTACCTTTACAAAGGCCTATTTTTAACCTTTTTAGATGTATGCATCATCTTACATGTCAAATTATTACAATTTATCAATAAATTCAATATACACTATAGGGCTGCTACCAGTCAGATTAAATCATTTACACTGCAAATAACAATAATTACAACTGCAATAAATAATGTTATGAGATTCATGTTTTAAATGCATTTATGAATATACAAATAAGAAATGTTGAGGGGAAAAATGCATACTTTTCAACAAACTTCTCAACTGAACTACCAGTAAGTGACATTAAGACATTCATTGAGTGAGT